CGATTTTCACTTCCACCACCCATCCTTACATCATATTGATGGCTAAATTCTATGTACAACTTATTGACATTAAGGGCAAACTATAGACTGCAATGTGTCAATAGCCTTTGTCAAATGTGTAAATGTTACAGGTAATGGTTTTTCAATCACCATTACATAACTGCACTTGATCAATAAATAAACCAATGTGTGCCAACAGCCAAAAACTGTAGTACCGTTCCTCAGATTAAATGATGTGGAGAGGAGCCTAGGACTGTCCACTGCTTCATCTGTCTTATTATGTGGACCCAATGGTACTTCGTGTCATAACAGCACCCCCCGAGAGAGAGAGAGACACCCAAATAGGCTGAAGGTGGACGCGAGCATGCTCCCTCTGAGATGAACGAGGCCTATACTGCACCCACGTCCCTCCTCCATCATCTATAGCCTCCAATACCTCCAATATGAAGACGACTAAATGAACCTCAACTGGGTCACATTACTGGATAAACAGTACAAGAGCATGAGAAGTGGTAGAGTGGACAAATATAGTATTGTTACTTGAGTATAAAGTAGTAGTAAAAAACAAAAAAGTAATCACTGAATAATTACTGTTACTTTACTGATACTGATATTTTGACTGGAACATCTAATTTAGGTTTGATTAAGTAGTATGACAACACAACTAATAAAATGTAAGAATCTGAGTACTCAAATACCAGTATAGTTTCCGTAAAACCATAATACTCAAGTTATGTTGTGGTAGAAATACTTATTGATCCAATAAATTGTGTAGGTAAGGCATCCATGAGTTTCAGAGCGATAAAAATGAGTACTACTGTCGTAACAGAAATATTCTATTTTCTGTAGTGTCAAAAGTTCTCAAAATGGCACCTATATTATACCTGTGTTGTGTTAAACTTAAATTTAAGTCTATTTTCTAATAGTTATTTATCTTTATTTCAGAGTGCCTATTTCCATTTTCTTGCTGTTGAACTGCATTGTAACTTTGGAATTTCTCCATCAAAGGACAAATAAAAGTTATCTCATCTCATTTTGAAGAGTCCCATACCCAACATTTTGTTTGTTTCATTCACACGTTTAACACAAATCCTGCATATTTAGTTCTTCTCTTAAACAAAAAAACACTCCATACACCTTGTCTAGGATCATTTGGATAATTTCAGCTCTGGAATTAATCTAGGTCTATCAAGTAAACAAAAGTACACTTGTCAAAACTACTTCAAGCTATTTTCGCTCTCTCTTTTTTGCAGGGTACTTAAAACATTATGAGCCAAGCCCAAGCAGAATACATATGATTGAAATAAAAGCAATAATTCAACTCCGAACTCCCCTCCCCTGCTTGTATTGCCGTAGTGACAGGCGGCTCCTATAAGCTTCAATGTGTGTGTGCTGTTACTTCTTTGTTCTGGGCTAAATTTGTGATCAGGTGTGGAGTGAGGGGCTCCGGTCACCTCGCTCGCGGTGCATGACTGTGAGCTTGTCGGATCCATTAAAGGGCCCCCACTCCCCCCTCTCCCCTCCTCCCCCCTCCTCCGCCCCCTCCACTACACGTCAAATTCAGACCTCCGCAAATGGAGCTACAGCCACAACACTGAACTCTCCAAGGAGGCACGCGTCCACCAGGCCCGGCTTCTCGCTGTTAATGTATAGTACCACACTCAGGGTATCTATCGACTCAAAAATACGGATAAATGGTTGGGGTGTTTTGATAAAAAGGTACCTCCAGGGGTCTCAGAGTGAATTTTAAAGCCCTTGGAATGACATAAATACATGGCAAAAATCTGTATGTTATTTATACTTCAGTAATCATTCAGATGTAACACAGGATGTAAATAGGTGGACAACACTGACGACACTACTTCACAGAAACGGCAGTGATTAAGTGGTCCGAGAGATACTTCAAAATCCCACTCACATCAGGGCATATTGTTGTGTCCTTGGGCAACACACTTCACCTGCCTTGCTTGCGTATGAATGTCAGAGTGATGGTGGTTGGGGGGCAGATGAGGCAGATTAAGTTGGGTTTAAATCAAGGAGTGTAGTGAGTGGTCAAAATCAAAGCATTATTCTATTTTCTATATTGTAATTCAGTCCTTTTGTGTTTACTGTAGCTCTACATTCAAAAGCAGAGACCCACTAGAGGGTGAAATGATTCTAACTGCATGAATTGTGATATAAATATTGTATGATATGATATGATTTTTTTTCATACTGCCCACTCTTACAGAAAGTATCAGATATTGACTTCCAAATATCGGTTCGGTCGGACATATAAATTCATGTAATAAAACTATTTACTGGTCACAAGCTGGCCAGAAAGTCTCATAATGTTTGAACTTTTATTTATACAAAGCTGTTCTGCTGCATGACACATTTGGATCAGTTTTTTTTTTTTTTTAAGGAAATAAATGCAGTTTTCAGTTTCTGTACTGTTATCTGTTGATATCAGATATCCTGACAAATTAATGTTCATCTGAATAACATTTAGCAGATAAGGCGTCTCCCCAAAAGGAACCCATGCCAAAACAATAAAGCAGATTGAAAAGAATTCTTAAAGATGGATTTTTGAAATTTGAATAACAGACACCTAAATAAGAATGCAATTTAAAAAACATATATATATAAACATATATATATTTTTTAGTTGACGTTCTATATTTGAAGACCACAAACTATACCTCTGAATCCTGCCCTGCGCTTGCTGCTGGAGGAAGCGAACAGCGTGAGGTGGGGCTGGTTTGGAGTGAGTTTTTTGGCCCATGCTGAGCCAACCTGAGGAGAGCGCTGCTTCCTAAGTGATAAACAGGTCAACACGAGGCGCCGCTGTTTTCATCCTCTGCAGTGACCCGCTGTTCCATACTGACAGTAACAAGTCCACACGCACACATACGCACATACACACGCACATACACACGCACATACACACACACACACACACACACACACACACACACGCGCGGAGCTAGGACTATTTTTAAAGACGCCATTTTCACACGCCTAAACGCTCCAATGATGAGACAGCCTTACACTTTATTCCAGAGGTGATAAAGGACTAAATGTATTCAGGGGCGTCAGCTTCCAGTTTATAGGCATTTTGATGACATTGCACAATTCAAAAGATATAATATTTTATTTTGCTTTATTTTCAGCTGCTCTTTTTGCTAATTTTATATGTATGTCTGTATCAATATCTATTTCCATATACATTTTCTGATATATCTCCTACCTTGACTATTGCTACTATTGTTACTATACTATGGCAACTTCAAGTTAGTAGTTAAATTTTGGGACAAGAACAAGATGAATGCTGATACCAAAGCACAATGTGTAGATACAGAGACAAACAATTAGCCCTAAATTTCATAAAATTATAGTATGCAATCCATCCTTACTGCATTACACCTGACATTAAACAATATCGTCTGTAGTATGGTTGGTTGTCTTTCACATTTTGTAGGAAAGCAGTTAAAGCTATATGTGTGTTTATATTTTGTCTTTATATATTTTTTGATCCATACAAGAGCCATAAGTATCAGACAAAATGAAAATACACTTTGAGTTAGAGCTTTATGGGAATCAGATCAGAATGTGCTGAGATGCTGCATCATACACTCGAGTGAAGTTTGTGGGCAAATGGAGACGAGCCGACAGCACACACAATATGAGCTTGTTTGGGAAAGTATCCAAAGACCCTGCTGCTTCTGTTTGTGTGAGCACTCCCATTTACCGCTCTGAGTGTCCTTATAAAGATACGCCACAAACTATGAGGAGGAAATGGAGAGACGCAGAGCAGGCTGCCGACTGCTGGGCTCCACTGCACAGGAATCAGGCCAATAACCACAGCAAAACCAAATGTAATGTAGTGCAGTCTGACAGAGAGTGGGGTCTATTCTGGAGGAAGGAACTTTGAGAACTCACTTGATTTAAGTTTTTGGTAGCTTTTTAACTTTGAGTGTTACTGTCATTGTGTCCTTGAGCAAAGCACTTCACCCGTCTCACTTATGTATAAATGTGGTGTGTGAGTGAGCTTTGGTGGTGACATGGGTCGATAAGACAGTGCAGATTGGCAGGCTCGCTTCCATCAGTCTACCTTAGGGCAACTGTGGCTGCAATCATAGACTGTATGAAGAAGTGGACTACGGGTCAAATGAAGCTCATGATGCAGTTATAGGAGAAAATTTGTAGCCTGGTTCGATATTAGGATTAGAAATGCATTTACGTAAAAAACTGCTAAATAAAAACACCAGAATCATGTAGAGCGGTTTAATACGAACATTTTAAAACCAAAATGACAAGGCTCACTGCAGCAGTTACAAAGAGAGGGGTGATCATTAAACTCAATTAAAGTTGATGGAGCTAGAAGTGCCCCCATGGACCCTTACACTATACAATCTTTGGCTACAATAGTAATTCACCATTAATCCAATGTAAACCATCTTTCAGGGGTTCAGAAAAGAGGTATTGTCATGGGTTTAAGCTTCCGCTAAATATTTTATGAACTTTTATTCATTCAAAATATATGATCTTTTGTTGAACTGATAAATGCTATGGTTGCTAATGATCACTCTGAAACCCATGGATGTGCAAATGTGTACCGTATTTTTCGGACTATAAGGCGCTATAAGGCTTGAGACTGATCCCTTAGCCCAGGCATCCATGATCCACTGGCAGATCGTGGCTTAATTCGCCCTGTGTTGCTTCCCTGTCATGGTGAATGTGTATTGTGAATGTGAGTGGAAAATTTAAGTTTTTTTGTTTTGTTTTTTTTCTATGAGGAGGACTCAAATATACACTGAGTAATAAGGTGTTTAATGCAGCTTTGCCACATTCGTTTATGTTTAACAGAAACGAAAGGCACACCGGATTATAAAGCACACTGTCGATTCTTGAGAAAATTAAAGGATTTTAAGTATGCCTTATAGTCCGAAAGTACGGTATATCAGAATCTTGCAGTTACCATTGGATCAGTCTTTCACTATGATAAGAGTAATACTTACATCAAAAACCTTCTCAACGTAGAGCTCATCACTGACACGGTCTCGGATGATGTCTTGGTTTTGACGCACAAATGTGATGTAAGTGTCCGCCACGTCCATCCCAGGTTTCTAAAGGAGAGACAGATCCAAGCTTCAGACAGGGACACTCCATCAACAACACACACTATGGTCAGTATAAGCCACAGGACAAAGAGCATGCTGTGTGAAACATCAAAACCAAGAAGTCTATTGACCAAAACGAGATAAAAATATATATACATGTTGGGTTATTTTTCGGGTGGGGGTTGTATGCAATTAACCATTTTCAAAAAGAGAATCATCTAAAAAGTAATTTCAGTATCTCTTATTACTAGCCATGTCACAAACAAAAACTGACATGAAGTTCAGTATAAAAAAATTGTAAGGCCCATTCCTCCATATGAAATTCTCACATGTAAATGCAACCTACTGGGACTAAATGCCACAACAGATTTATCCAAATGCAATAATAGTTACATTGTCCTAAATATAAGACATATTGTGCTTGAGCCTGCTATATAGTTATAATTTACAACACTTGTGTATCTTCATGCTATAATTTGCACATTTTAAATCGCAATAATCATCTAAAACAATTGATTGACAATAAGGCGTCTTGAAAATAGGTGAATTAAGATTGCTCAAACATGCACCAATCACTCCAAATACAACTTCAAGAGGTACACAAGAAGAGGAACTAACTACAACATGGTTGAAATGTCTTAAAAGTTGATATTAGGTTCACTTAAAATAAAATAATAGGATATTTAAAAACTCTGTTCCTAATATTTAATAATAACACAGAGAACCTTAGGTAAAGCTGCACTGTGGAACATTGCACCATGAGAAGGGAACAAACCCCTGTCCATTCACCCTCGTGCTGTCGGCGCAGATCACCAGTGTAGGGCCAATTGTAATTGCTTTGACATCTTTCACACCCGTTTTTCAGAGAGCCAGCGTGTGTCAGCCCTGGGGGTGGGGTTAGAGAGGGAAGTGGTGGACGAGGGAGGGGTGCAGCAGATCATTCAGTCCCCGTGGAAACAGCACACTGACACTGAGACTGAGATGGGAGCAGGCTGGCTTTGACATAAGCATTTAGAGAAAACATTAAAGGGGACAGCTTGCCGTGTTCACCTATGGGAGTACCTGTACACAGGGAGATTTAAAACAAGACTGGGGCCCATTTTACTCTATTTTCTGATCCATGTTATAATGTTCTCATAACCTGGAATTGTGTTTTGTTTCATTCACACGTTTAACACACATACCATATTTAGGCTGTGTTCTTCGCTCAAACTGAAAACATTGGAATTGCCAACCTCTACAACACTAAAGGTAAAAGATTTGCCTGGCATCCAGAATACACATTTCTTCAATACTTTACGAAGAGTCTACAGTTGGGATCAGAGGCTCTGGCCTTGACTGGTTTAGTTTATATCTCCTAAGGAGAGAGCAATTTGTATTGGTCAATAAGAGACCCTCATCATGTTCCCCAGTCAAAAATGGTGTGCCTCAGGGCTTTGTGCTTGGGCCAGTACTTTTCTGTTTATATATGCTCATACATCATAAGGGGCCTTAATACAAACCTCCACACAGTTATGCTGATGATACTCAGTTGTATGTGTGGGGGCTGGATGCTCTTGTTTAAACTGTCTCCAATGAATACAAACTTCCACAGTGAAATTTCTGACAAGGACAAATAATAAAGAGCACATAACTTCTGTATTTGCATCCCTTCATTGCCTAACAGTTAAAGCTAGAATTCAATAGAACTGACTCTTAACAAATCTTAACAGTTTCACTTCTTCCTAGATTTCAAATCTTCATGTTTTACACTTGTGACCTTTTTTATATTTTATTTTCATCCTGTTAAGCGCCATGAGAGCACGATTGTGTGTGAAAAGCACTGTAAAAATAAATGTATGTATTATCCTGATTATTCGATTATTATACAGTGCTGTAATAAATGAGAAATAGTTCATGTTTGTAGAAGTATGGTACAGTTTCTTTTATATAAGACAAAACATTTGTTTGATTTATAGAATTCTGATTCTTAGACTGCATTGTTTAAGATGAGAAATTGAAATGAATTGAGTGAATGAATTTAATGCATGAGTGATACTGAGCAATAAGAGATAATATTTTTACTTCACAACTTCCCACTGTACTACTTAAATTTTAAAAACTTCAAAATATAACTTTATGAATCTCACAATGGAAAATGAGTAAACATAACTCTAGCTATCCAAACTTAATTATTGTTTCATTCTGAAGGCCTAAACTACACCTTACACAACCTCTTCAATCTCTTGACATTAAACAGCGAGTGCTAATTATGATTCCAACACTAGACTGGAGACTTTGCCTTGTTTAATTAATAGAAGGAGTAAACACTGCTGTTTCCTTGACCAGATGTGTTCAATGAGACAGAAAAGTCAAGTGTAATTAATTATAAGTTTAGTCTGTACCAACTATTGTAGCTTTATTGTGCATTATTTAGCACTACTCTAAAAGTGCCTTTTGACATAATCTTGATTTTTCTTTTTAATAGACCCAAGGACTCCTGTGTAAAACTACAATGCATATCATTTATTTATATTTGTTAAAAAAAAAAATCCTCAATTGCATTTTAATATCCTGGATGACTATTCACTATGCACCATCAGGTTTAGTGACATGTTGCTAAAATTACTCATGTAACCCTGTGGTTTAGCGGTTAGCATTCCAGCCTCGCAGTGAGAAGGTTCTAGGTTAGATTCCTGGGCTGAATAGGGCCTTTGTTTGGAAAGTTCCTCATGGCATTAAGATATCTAGTTTTTATTTCTGTATTGGTGTTTTTGTTGCTCTCAAAAATACCTTAAAAAACATGCATTTTTCTGGGCACAGGATTATTTCTCCACAGAAGATAATCTGTAACTTGGTCTGGTGGTGACACCTGTTCATTTCTATTCATAAATAATAATGGCACAATGAACACTCAGTAATAATAATGCATTAGATTACACGGCCTCACTTTGCAATTTCATGCAGTATTCATTCACTCAACACTCAGGAGTGGTAAACTGCTACTGTAGCCACAGCCGCCCTGGGTCAGACTGACAGAAGTGAGGTTGTTGGTCTGTGTCATCGGCCCCTCAACCCCCACCAACACTCAAACACTACTTTCACTAAGCAATCCCACATTGTTTCCATACTAAGCAATGTGGGATAAATGTCTTGCCCAAGCACACAACAATGTGGCCAAAAAGTACTTAGGAAGCCCAGAATGATAATCTATTATAATCTATGATGCTTAACCTCCAGTGACAGACCACAACCCTCAGATCCTGTTTATTGTAATTCAGATGGACCAGAACATGACCAGTACGAGAGGAAAACCTTCAGGTCGTGGGGTTAAAGTGGGGTCAGACAGCTCCGGGGGGATGAGCTTGGAGCCTGGGGTAAGAGAGAGGGGTCAGATCTGTGGTTCCGGGCAGAGGGAGAGACTGACAGGACAGGCTACTGCAGAAGAAAGGTGCAATCATGGCCACTCTTTGTCCACATTTTGATCTATTTAGTACAGATGTCATTATGTTGGTTTACTTCAGCACATGTGTCAAAACTGAGGAGAGGTTCAGCAAGTCAAAGTGACAGACAGCTCTACGTCAAAACATTCCTTATGATCCCCGGTGACACATTTTGATCTGCATGCTTAAATCTAACTAACATAAAATACATTTATCAAATTAAAGTCACAGTATGTGACTATTTACTCAAAAAGAGACTAAAATACAAGCATGTATTTTTCATTTTGGTTGCGTGTATTGCAATATGCGTTCTTACTGTGAATGGGCTTGCACTCCAGCTGGTTTAGCAGGAAGCGGGCACTTGGCAGTTGCCAACACTAACAGCAGCAACCTCTGGGAATGAAGGCGCCTGATTTGTCTGTTATTAATGTTCATATATTAATTTTCATACAAAAAAGCAAAATAAAAACACCAGGATAATGTAGATTAATATGAACATTTTAAGGCCAAAATGACGAGTCTGACAGCAGCAGTTACAGAGAGAGGGGCCAGAGTCAATGTCCATGCTCACCTGTTTGGAACGCAGCAGCTAGCAGGTTCGCTATGCCCATTTATATATCCAGTCTATGATTTAGATAGGATGATTATAATTAAAATGTATTAATATAACACAATAATGTCTTTGCTGTTTTGTAGTGCAAATAAAATTCAGATAACATTAATATAAGTATTATACAAACAATGACCAATTCCCAATGTAACAACCAATAAATAACCAATCTGCCACAGTCCCAAACATTTACTGTTCCAGTATTTCAAGTTTATATTCCATAGATGTATTGTTTTAATAAATAAGCACTTAAACAATATCTTCATGGAGACAAGTAGGTGGCCGACCACTCACTAGAAAAATTACAGTATACCTTTAAATGCATAGGACTTAAAGCCAAAGTATGTAACTTTTTTTGCGCAAAAATGACAAAAAATAATAAAAAGCATGTTTTTTTTTTTTTTTTTTTTTTATTGCACTGACCTGCAAACAAAAACCTCAGTCATACTTGGTTTCCATGGAAATTCTATTCCTACACACTTCTACAGGATGGCATAAAACTTATCAATCTCCATGGAGAATGTTTCCAAGTATGGTTTTAACTTTTCATTTTCATAGAATCATGCAGGGGACGTGCCAACTCTAGAAAGTTACATTACTAATAATAAAAGATTTAGAACATCAATGGCAAGCAAAGTGATAGATATGCTTCAACTTGTGTAACTTGAAAATAATTGTATATTGCGACAATGGGAATAAAAAGCAGAGTACAAGTTGAGCCAAATACTTTCCATCACCTGTGCATCTTTTTTAAGTAATGTACTAATTATTTAATCTTCTTCAAAGTAGACATATGCAGTTTATACATGTCTGCTACAGTTCTTGCGTGGCAACATTTCTGTGGGCCTTGTTGTCACTCGAGGCATTGGTTTTGTGTGTTTCCTCCTCCCCCTAAGCCCAGACTCTATCACGCTCCTCTCCTTTCTCTCATCTGACGAAGTGACAAAGCAACCTGACACATCGGACACATCGGC